TTGATTACCTAAGTGTATAATTAATGATTAATATATTTATTGAGTGCGTCGGTGGCGCAGTGGCAGAGTATGCGACTGCTGTGCTGAGGTCTCGGGTCCGATTCCCGGGTCGGACCAAATGTTTGTATGATCTGCAAATATTTTTGTTTCGTAGTTTTCGTGTTTTCTATGTTTAGTATGTATTTATTTAAAAAAAAAAGTATATAAGTATTCCATCAGTCAATCTAGCTTTCATAGTACCACCTCTGCTCAATTTGAAACTAGATGGCGTTGTGCGTCAGATGTGAGAAAATATTATTATAATTATTTCAGTGCTCCCCCTAATACGGGAAGGGGTGCAGTCAACGGCTGACAACGCACTTGGGACTCTCAAGTAGCAAGTGTTCATGAGTGGCATTACTTGCTTACCATCAGTCCACCATCGTTTACTGCATTTCTTTGTGCATTAAATCCGCTTCTCTCCAATCAATTTTAGATACACTTGAGAATCTGAGACTCAGATAAATGTCAATCAGTCTGACACGGATTCGACTTTATATTCATGCAGTAACGTGACCGAGTGACCATGTAATAAAACTATGAGTCAAATAACACTCACGGATTACATTTTTAAATTCTGCGTTGGTTGTTACTATTCTTAAAAACCATGTATCTCGACTTCAAAATATCTGCATTCTAAATACATAGTATGAAGTAAGACGTTTCAGAGAAATACTTCTCTTGACATACGAATAACTAAAGTGAAATAATGACTAATTGTTCGTCCTCTCCGTCACTGTCTGTCCGTGTGTTGCTCTGTCTGTCTATTTTAACGCTATAAGCTTCGAAATTGTCAATCAGATTTTCATACAGTTTCCATTCATGGATAGAGTGAACCCATGAATCATCATAAGGTATGTGAAATTTCATACGTTTGTTGAAATATGAAGACGATTAATGATGACAGAAAAAATTAAGTCAACGAAATATGTGTACCAATATAACAACACAATGTGTGTTTCTTCTAAAATTAACATAAAAAATGTAAGCTGCCCATGCGCAGGATAAAATCAAACTCTACCTAATATACTATATTTCTGACTTAAACAGATTTATCACAGGTATTTAGTTCTGCGTAGTGGGTTACCAAGAACATCATCATCACATCACATCAACAGCCTTTAATAGTCCACTGCTGGACATAGGCCTCTCCTTAGAAAGAAGGTTTTGGCCTACTATACCACGCTGGCCAGGCGAGTTGGTATAGGGTTTTTGTCAAGTTTTCCTGCTTTTTGCAGTGCTGGTGTCCTGCGTTGTTTTGCGCCCTTAGTCGGTTCTTACGACACCTACGGGATGAATTGGGGTAGTGACATTCTTAATCCGTCACTACACGGACAAGAACAAAGTATGGTGGTATTGGTGGTGGGATCCGGTTACTGCATTAAGACTCAAGAACGGTTGTTTATGCGTATTGTGTGGTGAATTAATATAGTATAGTAGACGGGCCTTCTAAATCACAACGCCATCTAGGTTCAAACGAAGCAGAGCTTGTAATATGACAGCTAGATTGACTGATAGCCTACTTTTATACTTTTTTTGTAAATACACACATATTATACATAAAAAACACCCACACTCCGAAACAAGTATTTGCAGATCATACAAACATTTGGTTCGACCCGGAAATCAAACCCGAGACCTCAGCACAGCAGTCGCATACGCTACCACTGCACCACTGAGGCAGTTAAATAAAAACAAAGTTCTAATGGTAAGTAAGTATCGCCGTTCATTAAGATCTACAACTCGAGAGTCACATCCGCGTCGCTGCCGCTTAAGTGCCTCCCTCCAGCAGTAGGGAGGGAGGGTTGGACCTACGATAACGATAACGATAACGGGCCTGTTGATCTAGTGGTTAGTGACCCTAACTACTAAGCCGGAGGTCGTGGGCTCGATTCCTACCCAGGACAAATATTGTGTGATAAGCACGGTCATTTGTTCTGTGTCTGGGTGTAATATATCTATAATATGGATGTATTTAAAAAATATATATGTAAGCATGTTTATCAGCAGTCTGGTTACCATAGTACAGGCTATGCCTAGCTTAGGATCACCCGGCCTTGTGTGATATGTGTGAGGTATATAACGTTACTCACTCGGTGAAAAACAACGAAAGAGTTGCTTAACGGTTTAATATAGGTTTTCTGTGAGGCCGTAATATCATTGCGGTTGAGCCGGCCCAAATGTCAAAATTAAAAATTAGAAATTAAAAAGAAACAACATAACATATATTTTCTTGTGTTTAACATTTCAATGATCAAAAACCATGTAAGAAAAAGAAAAACGATTTTACTGTTGAGCTGTTTCCAAGAATTTTATTTACTATGAATCTGAGAGACTGGAGTAGAATGCCTAAGGCATTAAGTCCACCGATGTACAAAAGTGCATAAAGTTTGAAATAAATAAATCTCTATCTTTTCTCTCTGTTTTTTTTAAGTTATAACTACCAACCGCATTCGATGCATTGGAGAAGAAATATTTTATGGTCGAATACTCTCGTTACGTTAAAAAAAAACCGGTCAGGTACGAGTCGAACTCGTGCGCCGAGGGTTTCCTACCTACCCAGATTTTACGTAGATTTTCGGGAAAATTGTTAATTACCAAATTTTATCTTAATTTTCAACTTTTATTATTTTTTGGAATGATTCCTTTATTTGTGCCGTAAGACGTCTCTTTTTTCTCGAATTTCGTGATTCTAGGTCAACGATTCAAAAAGTTGAAAATTAAGGTTAATTTTGGTACTTACAAGTTTTCGCGAAAATCGAAATTTTCCACTATCTTTTTATCGTATTAACTCAGGACCTTGATTTTTATACACCTAATAGAGACTATAGACCTCAGCATCTGGTATAAATTTCCACTTTCTAGGTCTACCCGTTTCTGAGAAAATCGGTGGTGACACACGGACAGACGGACAGATGGTCAAGAAAGTGATCTTAAAATGGTTCCTTTTTTACCTCTTGAGGTACGGAACCCTAAAAAGGACGAGGTTCTCAATTTTTTTACCTCAAAACTCCATCATCTATTTGGCAAAAGTTTCTTCTTGTTTAATCCTATTCAAATTTACAGAAAAACACCACCCACACTGTTGAAAGTTAAGGAATTCAAAATATAGTTTACTACAACTCATCATGATGTAGGCGCAAGTGAGTCGGATTTACTTTTTGTAAAGTTTTGAACGATATCACACACATCCAACCCAACTCGTTGAACAATCAAATTGCAAGACAAGTTGCCCAAACATCGTATTTTCGTATTTTATTTGAGTTCATTTTGACTCCCAATTAATTTAACTTTATCGGTTTCAAACTCAGTAAGAAAATATAAAGGGCTTTAGCATTATAGCAGCAACAAAACTCCTTGAACCCTCTCGATATCAAAAACGTTTTAACACAATAAAGAACGTCATAAAATTCTAATAAGTGTGTAACGTTAAAACGTAGGTCATGCGTAACGCATACATTTCAACACCTCTATAATTCAGATACAAAGTAAATACTAACATTGGCATCTTATCTAGTGATTCACCAACTGCAAATATATCAAAAGCCATTTATTGTCAGAATTTCAAACTAAATCACCTAAGGTTTCCGGACAGGATATTTGACGTGCAATAAACTTGTCGAAATTACTAAGTACAACGTACAAAGCTTAACATCTTACGTAGGATTTAGATATTCAAGCCCAAAACAGTTTCTAAATCTGTTTTAAACACGTTGCTGTAGTAACTGATTGTTGTGTTAGTTATGGTGTTGAGAGGGTGAATACAGTACACCAGATTCCTTTATTTACAGGTTGAAAGTTTATACGTGTAAGTCCTGAGTTGCTGCGAATTTGACGGACTTCTTTAAAGTCCGATTGGCAAATTAGTACAGTACCCCTGTATGGTTTTTTTTCTTTACAGGTTTCTTTGTTCTTTTATTGTGCTGGGATTAAGGATAATTTTAAAGATGAGAGTAAGCACATATTGTCCACATGAAAATACATGAATCCTACTCAGCATGGAGGTTGCTGACATGCGATATCAGAAAGAGCAAACCAATATATATTTAAGGATAATTACGTAATTGGATGTGGCAGATATGATCAATTCGATAAATCTAAAATTTACCAATGTCACAGAATAGACAATAATACTATTATTAAGTAATCTTTTAAGTACCTATGAGTTTGCAATATACTATGACAGTTTTTAAGAGAAAGGCTTACACAAAAGACGTAAAGCTAGCTACACTTTTTCTAAATAAAAAAAAATTAAAAGTGCGTGAGTCACACATTCCTAATTTAATTGTTACGAGTGCTTTGTAGGAATGCAACCATTTGATCGACAGCCGCTTATCGAAATAAAAAAGTATCTTCTAATGCCTAAATAAATCTGAATCTCAATAGAACATAAACAACATAAACAGTAATGAGCTGAGTATTTGTTGTTTTTATATGAACTGAGTTTTTAAATGCAGAGTATTTTGCACTAATGATACGTAGTATGTGTTATTGTTGTCAATAATATACACTAACACAGTGGCATACAATGACCTTCTTTAAGGAAGGAAAGTAAAAAAAGTAAAAAATAGGTTATCAATACTTGTAATCAGAAATAAAAACTTTTAAAGTTCTGGATTATTTTCATACCTTTATCTTTCGGACTGGAATGTTTGTATATCGTCCGTTACGATTAATCTCATGTTTAGTGACAGTGATTTAAAATTAAACACGATTGCCCTTAAGATTTTTAATGCCCCTGAAACAGCTGTTTCATGATTCACTCGACATTGGGCCCACAAACGACGGGGAACTCGAGAATTATATTTAAAGACATCGGCCCTGAATATGATCGTGTAATAACAAAAAAACATACCGAAACAGTATATTCCGCTATAATTTTTGTGAACCCATCTGACAAAAATCTCAGTGTATAAACTCAAATAAACTTTGGCAATAACGCAAGATCGTTTGTTCTTAAGCTATTTTCTGCTGAAATAAACATCATAACAGAATTTGCAGTGTTTTACTTTGTTGCTCTTTTTGCGGATGTAATCCGGGTCAGTAGCTACAAAGGATGTTTTGAATGTACTTACATTGTGCTGATGAAGCGTCAGGACCACGTTGTCGAATGTAGACGAATTGGAAAGAGCTTCTGAGCTGCCTCGGAGTAACTCGGCCAGCAAGTCCGCACCAGGCTTCACTCCCACCAACTTAGAAGGTGATGATGTAGCTCTGACGTGTGTGGGTCCACGACTAACACGTGTTGATGACATTGCTCCCACACTAGCTTTACGACTAGGCACTGTTGCGTCAGATAAACTTCTCCTCCCAACCTCCACCGACCGACTTGCCGGCGCCTCTAAGTTTTTACCAAATGGCCCTCTGCCTGTAAAATACTGCCGCCTTGGCTCCACATCTGAATTATCTGATGGGCTTAATGGTGAAGGCGAAGCAGTTCTGTCTCTCGAGCACGTGTCACTTTCCGCTTCAGAAGGCGAGTCGCCATATTTCCGTCTCGCTCGGTATGAGTCATCATCTCTCTCATCTGAGCTTTGTTGATATAACCGTGTACGCCTCGCTTTTAATTCCTCAGACCTCGGCCACATTGGAACGGTGGCATCTGAAGGACTTGGTGGTCCATTTGTACATGAGTCATCAGATTTGTCACCAAGCAAGGAAGACGTACGTGTTTCCGCCGATAATCGCATATCTTGGAGAGATGTTTCACTGCTCTCACGTTTGCAGCCATTTACTGACGGTGGTCCTTCTTCTTCTCCTCCATCATCGCTTGGTGTTGTGATGTATATTCCCTTTCGTCTCTTGGTTTTATCGAGAGGTCTCCGCCTTTCTCTTGTACCAATGGGAGCCGGACCAGCCGGGGCCGTACAAGGGTTTTGCACTGCAGCCAGTAGACTGGCGACCTGCTCGCTAGTTATAGTTTCATCCTCTTTATCACGATCCAATGATCCATCGGATGCAGCGTCCGACCGCTGTTGATCTTCCAGCGGTAACTCTTTCGACCACTGTTTCACTATACACTCATACACGGGCACAGGGATAAAATTCTCAATTTCGTTTCCCTCCTCAATAGTACTCGGAAAATTCGAACAATCACAGTCCACATTAGCACACGCGTTCGTAGGGGGAGCGGGAAGTGGTGGAAAAGCAAAAGGTTGGGGTTCAAGTGGTGAAGTACCTTCACTATGAGCTTGCGCACTGTCGGCTTGTGAGCCGTCACTTTCTTCGCGGAGTTCATGTAAAATGCGCGGTGCCATCAATGCAGGCAAACTGCCTCCAGCTTCGGCCGGACCCTCCTCCCGCACTGGAGGTATACGTCGTGGCAGCGGGTGCGTTAGCGAGCGCACACCTAACTGCTTGTGTGGGGCATCAGGTGGTGGAGATCGTGGTGCTGGTGACGCGTGAGCTAATAATCCTTCATCAGAACCTACCGCGGAATCAACAGACGCGACTGATCCACCCTCGGTAGTATTTCCATCAGTTGCGAGACTTACAGTTTCCGCGTCTCGGCGTTTAGCAGTTGTGGACTCAGCACCAGGCTTGGCAGGACGTTTTCCAAAGTCAAAAATCGACTGATGTCGAGGTCCTCGATAGTATTTATCCTGCGCGAAATCACCTTGAGAAAACGACGCGCTCCGGTATGGAATAGTCTTTTGTGCGTAGGAGCCTACAATTGACCGAGGTTCTACACGAACTAACGTGATATTATCGGCGTCAAATTCATCACATCTGTCTACAGAGACACCACGCGGAGGGCTGTGTCTGTGGCGGGAACGGGGTGGTGGCACCGGTGGAAGTACAGGTGCCGAGTGCGGTGGTGGCGGTGGAGGTGGTGGAGGCGGCGGCGGAGTGGTATGGGCGCGTGGTAGGAGGCGCTCGGTTAGAGCCTGCAGGCCCTGCAGCCGCTGCTGGCGCGACGGGGGCCGCTCGTCGCGAGCGCCGCGGCCCAGCCGGCGTTGGATACGCTCCAGCGTGCGTCGATCGGGCTTGGCGCGGCCGAGGCACGCCGCCACCGCCTCCTCAGAGCAGCAGCGGCAGGGGCAGGCCCGCGGCGGCGGTGCTCGGCGTACAGCGTACCGCACCGCACCCAGCGTCACGTACGGGGACCTGCGCACACGACGCCGATATATTTAATTGCCGGAACGAACACGCGCGCGGCTCGCCGAAAAGCTTGGCGGCAAGTGCGACGGATTTAGAGCGCACGAGCTTCCCCCGCGACTCGCCGCTGAATTCCGGGAGGATTCCCCGCGACCCACTCCGCTACTGTTCAACGGTTATATCGGACCAGATGACTCGTGTCCGAAGATGTCTTTTCTCTTTGAAGAGTGTTATAATTGACATTCGGCTGCATAAACATCTAAATCCTAACGATGTAGTGCAAACATTAGTAAGCGTCTGGGTAACAGCAGGTGTCGGACAGACAGACGGAAGACGTGTCGTCTATAAATAGTATAACGTTGGCGAATTGGCGACACAGCGACCTCGTAGCAATGTTTACAATTTTCCTACTTGGTTACAGTTTGATTTTGGTCTTTATTAACTGTTATCTATCAGGCGCTGTGAATTCTACATAAAATTTACGTGCCACTAAGCAACTTTAACTAATATTGTGCATAAAAAAACAGTTTTGAAATATACTTAAGTGTTGGACCTGGAGTAGTCGCGCCTCCTTCTCGCGCCATCTGACGGGGAACGCGGGCGCGCGTCTGACGCCATGGGTAGGTCACGTGACGCCGCGCATGCTGCGCTGTCGCCGCCTACACGCACTGCAACAATAATGATACACACTTTAGTTAGAAAGCTTAAGGACTTTGGCATTGTGATAAGACATTTTTATGGTAATTTAATAGAAGGTGTAATAACAGTGGACGACTGCATTCTATTTATAAATCTAAATGAGCATTTTAGTCATCGGCTTGTTAGTCATATGGACATTAAAATCGTCTTTTTAAATAAAACAAGGCATAATAACTTTGTCACTCCTTTCATTTCAGAGAAAAAAAAGATAATAATTTATTTAGGTACATGTAAAAGAGACGAACGAGTCTTCAAAATTTTTGACTAGTGGATCGTGAACCTAAAAGTAATTATATGCAATAATTTGAAACCCATAAGGAAATGAAAATCGGATGATTAGAATTTTCAACCTAGTTCGAAAAAAGGAGAGTTCCTGATTTACATCTATAATAGATTAAACGGATGACAAAACGACGATATTTTTTTTTTAAGTTCAGAGAAGATATAGTCATAGCCCTGTCGAGTTTGAAACTTTATATACTACCCTATGGGGTAGTTACAGTACAGGGCAGAAACCTATTTACGCGATTATCACGCATGTTTTGCCTACGATCATAAATCGTAATACTCGTACTTACACAACAGTAAAAATTCTAAGTAAAACACTTTCACGTATACTACTGTCCTGATCACAACTCTACAGGGCTGCACAAAAGGACTTGATATGTGTAAGAGAGACTGCAGTTGACAAAGAAAGTTTAAGTTTTTAACTGATTTCGAGAAAATGAATGGGTTTTAATTCAGTTGTATTTTTTTTCTTTTTGTGTTTCTTATGGACTACGAGCCCGTGGCCGCAAGACCTTCGTCATTTTATGAAAAGCCGAAAATTTTTCAACGCATGTTTCCAGCACAAGTAGGAACAAAGTTTTGAAGTTTAAACTAGAGTGGCTTTGGCAGGAACAGGTAACAAAGGTGTTTCCTATAGCAACCTACTTTCGTTGATGAAGTATAAAGTTCAATTTTGTAATATTTCCCTACTGGTGTTTCCGATCACAGGGTCCACATATGTACGTGACGTTTCCTCATCTGAAACGTGCTGGCAAGACTTTGAGCTCCTTCCTCCTATTAGTTTTCCTTACCCTAGTTTACCTTCTTTTTTGTCTGGTTTAAAAAATATATTTCAGACCCGGATTGGCATCAGACAGGCAATCGGCAGGCCATCTTAAAAAAAAACAGCCAAAACCATTGTAATGTTTTAGCTGTTTTCAAAAAAAATTATTAATAAATTATGTCGACCAAAATAAAATAAAAATAAGAGGAAAAATTATGATCGTAAAGACATAAAAGAATATGTTTGTGAAATAAATTATTCGTACTGTCGTCGTTTGAATATATAAATCATCAAATATATAAATCTCCCTTTTTAATCTGTTATTTGCTTTACAAAAGAGCAATGTATATCATTTTGTGAATAAAGGTACATGGTGATACATTAAAATTGTATATTTAAAGTGTGAGTAAAGTTTTAAAAGTAAAGAAGTCTTTTTTTAATTAAATTCGAAACTACATATAATTCAGTAATATAATAATATGTTTTACATAATTTCTGATATAGAAGAGCTTCTTAAGCCACCGACAAAACGACTTAGTCGCATACGCATCACACAACTTAGCAACTCGACAAGAATAAAAAGAAACAAATACATACACGAGCCCATTAAAGAGAAAAAAAAATACAAGTATTCAAGAATGTGCCACAATGTTCCAGAAGTTGCTAAAGTTGTGTCGAGTCAATCGGGTTATTAAGAGATTTCTCGAGAAAATTTAAGAACCTTCTGTAACTTTCTTGACATGAGTCTAGCCCAAATATTAGTCGCTGCAGTTCAGTGTTGATTGATTCTAGTTCTGGCATACAGCTAGTCAACAAGTATGAAAAGTAAGGAACGAAAATCATGCAATTTCTATTGTGTTATTTATTGTAAGTAAATGATGGTTAGTTTGAGCAAAAATCAATAAATCGTCACAACATTCAAAGTAATATTATACACGTAAAAATATATGTACGTCTCACGGTTAACAGCACTCGCTTGAGCAGCCTTCCTCTAGGAGCAGCCAACAATTTCAATAAATATTGCGAATCACTGATTATACCCGCCATGACATTAGGTTCTTTCCAGAGAATTTCAAAATAGTTCACGTTACATGCATTTTGAAGTCAAATTACATTAGCCATAGAAATTTGATGCATTTCATGATTTTTGATTGATTGATTGATTGGTGATTGATGTCTTTTAACTCATTTACTCTATGAGATTTCTTATAACATATATCCAACGCACTATTATTCTACTATATCTAGCAAATTTACAAAGTAATAGGTAAAGGCACTTAAAAATATTTCTAGTTCAGTGGAAAGACAATATACGAATGTATGTATATAAAACCGAAAAGATACTCCTCTACTTACCAAGCCCGAAATCTGAAAAATACTTGCTTCTTGAAAATTTCATTTTTCAGGGGGGGTAGTTAATAAGTAAGAGACATCCGCTAAGAATTTTGCGACAGGGCCCGATTAAGGAGCTTTAATTAGCTCTCGGTAGTTCATGTGTAAATCGTTATTTTTTTATAACAGAGCTCTGAAATTTTCCCAGGTAGATTGTTTATAGGTAGGTAAAACGAATTCTGACCAAAAATGACTTCTGATAAAAGAGATCTAAGATCTCTCGCATATATATATATGGCCATTCTGTTCTTTGTACTAAAGCCCTGAAATTTGTCATGAAGGTAGAATATGTGTAGGAAACGTCCACTAAGGGGGTTTCAAGTCTCTTATATATTTGATAGTTAGCTCTGGTCAGGTTAAAAAGCAGTAAAAATTTCCTTCGCAGGGCCGACTCAAGGTGCTCAAAAGTTTGCTTTAGTTAATAGCAAACTGTCCGTTGAAGGCGCTTTCGAATGCACACCTCTCATGTAATAAATAGGTTATAAAACATAGATATTTAACAAGAAAGTTCAAATGCCATGTTTTTACATTTTGTTACGGAGTGCGACATCTCGCGGTTTAGACCAGAACTACGGTACAGTGTCGAAGCCGAATAGTTGTAAGTCAGTTTCAATAAGTTACTTTCGCGGTATGCGATGGGCGGGCGGATAGCTACTGCGTTACTACAACAGAGGGCTCTTATATTCTTTAGTTATATAATTCTGCAATTTCAAATAAAAATATATTTTTGTTTGATTATAACAATTAGCTAGACCAAATTTCGTTAATATTTTAGTCATTTTTCACGTTTCGCTGTAAGTCGTACTTTCACTATTTGAATTAATTATACTTAATGTTTTTGTTCAGTCAGGACTCTAAATAAATTTACAGTTGTAGCCTTCATGTAAAAATATATATGTTCAAAAATATCTGACGATAGTGCATATTTATAATAATTATGAACTTACAGGACCTTATAATAATTATGTATTTACGTTGCAGTGATACAAATAAACGTTCAACTACTAACAAAAGATTTTGAGTTGAATTGTCTAATGGGCATTAAACTTCTTTACTAAGTAAAAAGTAATAAACATACTTTTCTTGTTTCTGTACTCTTACGTATCACACGTGGTGTTTGCACTACGATTCCTTAGATACTTCTGGAATATTAACACATACCCGTATATTTTGATGCTTGGTTTATTTAGTTCTTGTTTTTTTTAAATATATTTCGGACATCTGACACACGACTAGTTTCAAACCAGATCTTGTACTATGAAAGTTAGATTGACTGACTGAATATTTATGTACTTTTTTTGTAAATATATAGAAAACACCCGCACTCCGAATAAAACATTTGCAGATCATACAAACATTTAGTCCGACCCGGGAATCAAACTCGAGACCCCAGTACAGCAGTCGCATACGCTACCACTGCATCACCAAGGCAGTCACTTGTTAGTCTCGATACTTTTGCACGGTTTGCACTGTATACTACTTACTACGCTGTAACTGTACTGTACTGTACTCTGTGTCTGTTTTTTTCAAGTTGTATAATAAACAATAGTAAGCATATAAATGTTTATTATTGTCTGTCGTGCAACTTTGTTTACATATGTATATTACCAATAAAGCCAAACTAAGGAAACGTCACAACCTTCGTACAATTGCATCGGGTATACGAGATGATAAAACGATATCCATAAATTTCAATAAATGGCAATCATCAACAACGACAACACTTCAAAACCAAATAATTTACTTTAATAGCATCAGCAGCCACGCAGTTTATAAGAATTAGACGAAAATGGCACTTAATAACGTATATTATTTCGCATTACTGATAGTTAACAAAATAGAAATCTTACTTTGCATTTGTACTTTGTATTTTATTCAACCAATATAGAATACTTACTACAGATTTAGATAAAGAACTTTACTGCGAACAAAAGTGTTTATAATTTTTTTAATCTAATGTTATGATAAATGGACGTAACTTTCAAAAAGCCCGATGTGCCTTTATTCCTTCAGTGATTCACCTCTCAACCCAGGGTTCTAGCTTACAAGTTATGTACGATTAAATGGATAAAAACCGGTCGGTTTCCAAGTACATAAATAACTAAGGTAATAAGTGTAAATTCAGTCATACGCATCACACATTTATATGATAAATAAAGTGATTAAGAATGACACCGGCAAGGAAACATTTAAATATGGAAATATAATGTCTTCCTATGCCCTTATATTTTATGGAATATTAAAAGCAATATATTCATTAAAGTGTTTACCCCGGCGATATCTGTATATAAATTCTACTTAGTTGGTTTAAGGTTGCGATAAATTCAGGAATAATAATATAAACTTGCCAAAATTAATTTTGATTAATGCGTTTTGATATATGATGGTTGTTTGTGCTTTCAGACACATATAGATTATTTTTATTCTCTCTCATTTGATCTTACTACACTTAAAGATATACTTTATAGTTTTTATTACCAAAATTGTAGGTAACTTAACAAAGAGGCCCGAAGTAGATGGTTAATAACAGCTTATATTTTTTACTTATACTTATATTTTCTGACTTTTCTATTCCTGA